CTCACCTCTAGAAGGAGGTTTGAGATGATACAAGAAAATAATGTCATTATTATGGCATGAATGGTCATTGGTCACGTACCTATTGTACGCCAAAATATTTTGGTAATGTGATTATTAAAGAATAACAGTAATGCAAGAAATAGATCTTGCATATAATTTTGACCATAACCATAGTGGTATAACTTTCTCTTTAAAAGAGACACCATATGGATGTTGATGAATATGTGGTAGTACAAAATTAATTGAGAGCTCTAGAAGAGCCAATTATACTATTTTGGAGAAAATTGATTATCAATAAGACGTTGTGTTGTAGTAAGTCTCAAAGAAACTTATTGAGTTTCTAAAGTATTCGCGAAAACGGTTGGTCATACTGAGACTATAAATAAAGGAAAGATTTAATATCTTCTATTACTACAACTTGTAGCGGCGTAATATGCATGTGAAAAGCTACCCCGCTTTATTCTCCAGTTTATACTACACAAACAAAAGAATGCCACAATAAAAAGTAAAAGTTTATTAATATAAAAACCCATATCATAATAAACTTGAAGTTTATTGATAATTGCACACGTCATGGTGTAAATCTGAAGTTTATCAATATTGATAATTTATTCAGTTGGCATAATTGGTTTAGCCATATCAATTTAAGTATGATGTGCGAAAATAAAAGAGAATTCACATGGGTAAATATTAAAGAACTTGAAAATTCTTTACGAATTCTCTTATGTTGCCTGTTCTCATTAATTAATATACCAACTAAAATTGGGATTGAATCCCATGAATGCTGGAAATATCAAAGGTGAATATGGGCCCATTCACCTGCCATGTATACCACATAAGATGCATCTATGAGATGGTTACATGTACAATTATTATTGACCCGCAACCTGGTGTTTGCGAGGTAACTTGCTCAAAAATTTAATATAGAGCATAATTTCCAGATTTTTTATTCAAGATAGTTCTTCTTGATAAGTTGGTTTACATCACAGTTAGTTTAGCAAAATGATTTATTGAGTGCCTCCACTTAATAGCTAAACTATTGCTTATGAGAACAAAGTTATCTATATCAGTTTGATATATGTTATATACGGAAGTATATTACATTCTCCCCTCACAAGTGGTTTCAGGGTCAGAAACCAAATAATTCCATCTCATTATTATTGAAGTGCGATGTATATTTTGACTAACACCATAACGCACAAAGATGGGTTCTCAAAGTTGAGGAAACAAGTTAGTTTTTCTAACATGAGGGGGAGACAAGATACAACAGTTGAGAAAAAGTTACATGGAATGAATTATCATTTATACATCTAGATCCCCGAATAAAATAATATGAACTTGAAGTTCATAAAAGGATAATTCATGTGCAATTTATTGCAAAGAATGCCAGACGCATTTGCTTTGCAAATGCTCCTATTAGAATAAGTCCTAGAAGGACAAAGTCTATAGTACGCTTAAATCATATAGACAAATCGGTTTCAAATAAACTTCTTGATAAAGACGATGAGCAAATGATCAAAATGATCATAATAAAGGAGGCAAGTGATCTAGAAGATCACATGACATAACACTTCATAAAATCTCAAGAGAGATTCAGGTACCTGAAAATATGAATGAAGAGATCTCTATGTTATGTCTTTATGAAAAAATATTGAAACTGATATAAAATGTTTGTCGGCGACATCTATGATAGCGCTAAATATATATATGAGGATCTTAAGTCTGAAGAAACAATTCAAATAGAATTGGTTTCATATGAAAGCCATGTAGTTTTGAACATGTAGTTCAAACACTTGAAAGTATAAGTCAATGGTATGTGCAATCAGTTTTCGATATCTTATATGTCTAGCATGACATGAAAACTTGATATGCATCTAAAGTCTATTATATGACTTAACAATCCCTGAAGGATTTAAATTGCTTAAAGCATGTAGAATTCATGGTCATGAAGTACTACATCCTCAGTGCAATTTGTGCACAAATATATCTTGCTAAGTACGCAATACGAATCCGAATTAATTGAATTTCTAGTACGAATATAGAAACACTAAATGAAAAACCAAATATATATATATATATATATATATATATATATATATATATATATATATATATATATATATATATATATATATCTTTTTGTTCTTACTTGCAAGTGTGTGTTTTTACAGCGAAGAAGTTTTTCTCAAGTATATATGACAGTAATATCTTTTTATTCTTAGATGCATATGTTTTTACAGCTAAGAAGTTTCTTCTAAGTCTACAATTTACTGATTACCTAAAACTTTACTTTGTTGGCAAATATAAAGAGAAAATAAGGTACCGACCAAAATAGTAATATTTAATTGTTTGACAAGACAAGAGTAAGTTGGATTCACGATATTATGGCCCCGTTTGGCCATGAGTTTTCTCAAAATAAATTTGGAATTTATTTTCAAAACTCATGTTTGGCCATAAATTTTGCTCATATTTTGGCTAAATCCCAAATCCCAAATTTCAAATCCCAAAATCAGCTATTGAGCTGATTTTGGGCCAAAATCCCAAAACTTGGGAATTATATACATGTTTTTCCAAAATAAAGTTTGGAAAATACGTTTTGAAAACGTATGTCCAAATACATTTTCATCTTCAAACCAAACTTCACCCAAATCAGATTTTTCAAAATAAATTTGGGATCTATGACCAAACGCTAGCTATATAAAAAGCCAAATATTTACTGCCTTCTAGCCAAGGTAATTGGTTTCCCCTTTTCTATTTAATTTGTTTTTTACGTTCAAAATTTGAATGGTATGAGTTTCGAATTTTATAATAGCAAGTACTAATAACTAAGTTTAAATTTAAAATTTGTGCAGTTTTAGTGACTTTCATAACACAAATACAGACTTTAAGACAAATCTATTAGGTTCGGTCAAACAATTTTGATTTATACAACATAGTGTGATTGAGCATATAATTTTAAAAAAAAAAGTTTGAAACTTATGATTTTAAATAATTTTATTGTATAGTGTAAAAATTAAACCCAAAAGGGGATCATTCTCTAAACGTGGTTAAATGCAATTAGACGCTAATAAACTATTCGAGACGTCATGACGCAAGTACAATTAGCGATGGAAAGGGGGATTAATTTAAATGACTTCAATTAACACCTAAAATCGTCTTAATCATGAAAAAGGCCGGCAAAAGACTCCAAAGTGCTTGTCTTCTAATTAGTTGCATGCAAATTGCCGATATGGTAGACCCTACCATTTATTTTGCAGACTTTTCTATCATAATATTCTTATATAATAATATTTTACTATAAATATCATATTTTTCCCGAAATTAATTTTCATGTTATATTATAATAGATGTTTTCTATAACAACACTTCTCTATAACAATCAAAATTATTCAAAACAATCGAGATTGTTATAGAGAGGTTTGATTGTAATCCTTATTTTTTGCTTGAGTCTATCGGCTGAGTTAGGAGCAGAAGGGGTTCATTCAAACTTTGTCCGTTAAATATTAAATTTTATAATATATATATATATATATATATATATATATATATATATGTTAGGTGTTTGCCATAATTTTCTTACCATATTTGGTTTTTCTATCTCTTGAAAGAAAAGGGCAATATAATTACCTTAACTGGGTTTTCCTTTTTGTAAAAGGAAATTATAAATCTCCAATATTTGGCTAGTCCTTTTTCTTGTAGGAAAAT